AGTAGTAGTAGTGGCTAGTAGTAGTAGTAGTAGTAGTAGTAGTAGTAGCAGTAGCGGCAGCAGCAGCAGCAGCAGCAGCAGCGGCAGCAGCAGCAGCAGCAGCAGCAGCAGCAGCAGCAGTAGTGTCTGTGTGTGTAGCAGCAGCAGCAGGAGCAGTAGGAGTAGTAGGAGTAGTAGTAGTTGTTGTAGTAGTCGTCGTCGTCGTAGTAGTAGTAGTTGTAGTAGTAGTAGTAGTAGTAGTAGTAGTAGCAGCAGCAGTGGTAGCAGTAGTAGTGCTGTAGCAACAGCAGCAACAGCAGCAGCAGCAGCAGTTGACGCCGACGACGACGTCGATGATGTTGAAGACGGCGAAGACAACGACAGCGACGCTCACGACCATAACCACAACAAGGAGGAAACAAAGCGGAAGGCAATGTACGGTAAGGAGCACAATCGAAAATGCTCGTGATGTCGGCAATATCGGTGTCATCTAAGGAGAAGAGAGTCTCCGTACCCCAGACAGTGCTCCGGGTGTGGAGGCAGGAGGCAGGAATTGGCAAAGCTGCCGACAGTAAGCTTGCTCTTTGGCAGTGTTCCGAGGCCTCCCTGCCCTGCCTCTTGAATTGGGTGATGCTAGAGTTGGCTCCATTTCACATGGCTCACGGGACCCTTGCAAGTTTAAAGCACTCCCGGTAAGTATCGTAACAAGGTCACGAAGGTTTCCGCTGCAGGGTCCCAACAGCCCGAAGGGGTTCCAACAGCCTGCAGCTTCAGCCAGCAAGACACTGCCAAAGGCACCACAGGACGAGGAAAGCACCTTGCAAGCTTACACACGTCAGCTTGCGAGCCCCAAGCAAGACCACCGGGAGAAAATCTATTCGGATACAAGCTTCGCACCTGGCCTGCTCAGCACTTACACTGCTTCTTCTTCTTCTCTCCAGCATCACGACCATGTTCCTGTGGCGGAACTATGTCGGGAGAGGTGTATGTCGAACGGCCCCATTCTGTGCCCGAAGTCACAAGAATTTGAGGCCTTCGTTAAGCTGTGCACACCCACAGATTCTTGGCCTGACTTCGAAGCTGGAAGCCAGTGTCGCTCGGTTTCGGACGCTCCTTGCACGGCATTGACAGGAAGGTCCGAAGTTTTGGTATTCAGGAGCTTGGGATTTCGGCCCGTCCATGCCGGGCTTTGCGCGGTCTGTTAGTTGCGATGCTTTCCTGGTCTGTATGTTGGGCCTGCTTCCCCTATTTCTGCACTGGTTGAGTCCGGGTGTGAGGTTCGAGCCAGGATTGTGCCGAGAAGTCTGGCGCGAAACAGGTTGAGTGAAGAGCTGTTTTGCGTGTCGAACAAAGGAAGCCTCGTCTCTTTGTGACGAGTGGCCGGAGAGGGCCCAGGCCGCTCACAAGGGAGCGCAGCTGCCACTTGCCTCGATGAAATTGACCCTAGACTGGTGAAGTGGAAGACACTAAGCCAAAAAAAGGCACTGCATTGTAGTGACTACAAGACGAACCAGCCGTTCCTGGGCACGTGACTGAAAAAGGGCATTCACATTCTCTCCTGCGAGCATCTTCAAGCACAGCGCAGTGCTGCAAGGGCAACGGACCATCGGAGTCCTCTCTTGGCACTGGTCTCCAGAAACAGTACGCCGAGCTCCTGCCGAAAACAACTGAGTACCGCCAAGGAAAGGAATCCAAGATTCCGTTGGTTGGATCCACGGTCCTTGGCAAGTTCGCGGCCCTCCTCCTCGGAGACCTCTCGCTTACAATGGTCACAACACGACTCCCAGCCTGAGCAAAAGGACTCCCACCTGGCGCTCGTCTGCAAGGTCCAACTTGTTGCCGACAACTGCCAGAACCGCTTCTTCACCTTCAGAATGACAGACAGAGGCACGGTTGCAACCCTGTCCGAAACAAGCATGGAAACCACGAAAGCAGGAAGTCTGCAGCATTCTAAAGTATGCCTCATCGAAAAGAAGGCGTGTAAAAGATCACTTGGCCGCAACATACCACCTCATACCACTAGCTCGGCAAATCGAGACCCTCAACATCGGCATCGGCTGTCCATGCAATGCTATGTCTTTCCATCACGAAATTACCGGCTGCTCGGCCAGGCCTGATACACCACACCCCCCTTCACGCATGGCACGAGCAGCTTGTGTCACTTAGGGGAAGCACACACACACACACACACGCGTACACGATCCAAGGCTTCCTGCTAGAGCCTCAATCCGAGAATGCGATGCCACTGACCAAAACTCCGAACCCTGAGTCCAGTGCCCCAAACTGCAAGCCAAGTCCAAGCATTGAGCCTGAAGGTTCTAAGCCCAGCCCTGCCTCTCTCCGCTCGGACATCGGAGATCCATGCCCTGCCCGCGTTGTGGGCTTCTCTTTCTTTCGCCAGGGCTGCGGTGGGGAGTTACCTGTGGGTTTCCTTCTCTCCCTCTCTCTGTCACAATTTTCTTTTAACCATCTCGCCAAACACATTACATCAACGCTTGAACATGTGATGCTCCCTTATGCACAAGCCCTGTCGAGATGTTTGCACTGGCATGACAAGCATGATGGCAATGCTGCCTAGCCATCGTGGCTGTACTCCGGAACCCTGCGCTACTGACAAGAACCGGGCCCTCGGCGGGTCAGCCCTGACCTTCTCACTTTCCAAGGAGGCTTCACGCTCCAACACCTGCCAGGCCTCGTTCCCTGAAAGGATGCTTGTCTTGTGATGTCGTACACGATCACTGCAGCTGCAGCATCCCGGATGTAGCTGGGGATTAGGCTTCGGAATCGCTCCTGCTGTCATGAGGCTGAGCAAAACAAACGGGGCTGGGCTGCCGCTATCGATCCACACGCTTCAGAGCACTCTCCGAGGAGCACAAAGACCCCACAGCAGCCCACTCACCCAGCATGTTCTGAGCGCAAGATGAACGTCTAAGTCAATGTCGCCCGCGCGCTCCTGGCCAGCCGTGTCCCACAGCTGAAGGCGCATCGACCTCCCCTGGGCGCCAAGTCGCGAACCGAACCAAGGCTCTGCCAATGCTGCGACTCTGTGCCCCCTGAACCTGTAAGCTCCGGATATCTCCGGATTCCGCTCCATTCTCCCAGTTACGGCGGTTGCTGGAGTCTTTGGTGGAGGTTAGAGTTCTAGTAGTTGATCCTACCGGTTGACATGGCAAGCGCACGGCCAGCTTCTTCTTTGAAGTAACATCATATGCTATGGTGCAGATAACGTGTCCTTATTTCACGGCACTTCTAAGTTCGGGACATCCTCGAGGTATGCGGTCTTGCTCTGGAAATCCATTCCTCCAAGTGGGAACGACAGGCGCTGTGAAGATGGCACCTATTTGGCTCGTTCAAATCACCACGTCCCTGACGGTCCGCGACCACAGCGAGCCCCATTGCCACATGGCAGCCGCGCCTACGGTGGGCTGCACGCCCTCCTCAAAAGTGCCGTACATGTATCTGCGGACCAGCGATGTTTTGCCTGAGTCTCACTGCGTCGTAACCGCACAGCCCTCACAGGCATGAATTCGACACCAAGCCTGCAGACGATGAAACCCTGGATGACAGACCGACCCGACTTAGTTGGTGCAGTGGGCTCTTGACTCCCCGCTTCGGTTTATTTCACAGACGCAGAGGGTGCCCAAAAAAAAACTTGAGTGGCCCGCCGGCTGCCTCATCACCAAGTACGACAACCTTCAAAAACATGCTTGGGAGTCTTCTGCATCCACCGTAGGGCTTGACAGGTCTGGCTCGCTGAAGGCCGAGGGTTGGGTGAGTATGTTTGCAGGACTGGTTAATGTCGTGGTGATGTCGATGATGATGTTCGACCTGAAGAAGATGGCGGTTGTGGTGAAGAGGCGAAAACGGAACTAGTTTTGATGATGGTGATGTCGATAGATGTACTACTACTACTACTACTACTACTACTACTCCTCCTCCTCCTCCTCCTACTCCTCCTCCTACT